ACCCCGGAGCTTGGGCTCCTGGCGGCCGCGAGGAGGGACCGTACCCGAAGACGAGGCCCGGAAGCGGCGTCGGGGCCAGGGGAGGGGCCCTGCCCAAGGGGCCCGCACCAGCCCGCCCGCCCTGCCCGCGCCCGCCCCTCCGGTCCGACCAGGGCCCGGCCTCACCGCCCCCACGGCCTCCTGCAGCAGTGCCCCGAGCCGGCTCAGCATGATGGCGGCCCGGCCCGGCTCGCGGCCCGGCTCTCGGTGGCGGCGCGGCGGTGGCGGAGGAGGCGGCCCAACCGGCGGGAGGCGGGACCGGGCCCTGAAACCCCGCCCCCGCCGGAGGGCTCGGGGCGCTCGAAGCCCAGGGCTGGCCAGGTCCTAAAGGAGAGTCAGTGGTGGAGGAACGTCCTGGGGCGCTGATGACCGCCAGCGAGCTGGTCCCTTTGGGTAACACCCAGAGACTTCTAATTCCTCATGCACCCTCACAATCCTACCGAAACAGTAGCTCGGGACACACAGGGCTGTGGAACGTTTAAAACGTCCTGGTCCTGACAAGCTGTGTCAAGGACACTCCAGAAGGCAAAGACTAGTAGGGAGAAAAAAAGATTAGATAGCTTCACTGTTGATATTGACGACACGTTTAAATGTAATGGGTTAGGTTATGGCTAATATTAATTTCACCTGTTGTTTAGTAAATTTTTTTTAAAAAGTAGTAATCGGAAAAGATGATCGAGAAGGTTTGCAGTTGGATTAGGGATTGATCAGAGGAGTCCCAACCAACTCTGTCTCATGTCTCCCACTCTGGAGGGAAGGAAGACAATTACAGCACACCTGCAATCAGTCTCAGCACCCAGCAGTATCACCAGTCCAGGGAGGTAGTGAGATCCTGTAACAAACACACGCTCACAGCACACACACACTGACACACACACAATATACACAGACACAAATTCACATATACACACACATGCATACACAACATTCACAGAGAAAGAGAGATTGAAGACATGAAAACTTTTAAGATAAAAACCAAAACAATAAAAAAAAAACCAAGGGCTTCCTGAGGCTCTTGGTTCAATCTCCAGTATCAAATAATTAAATACATAGATAATATGTAATTAAACTATTTATATAAATATATTTATGTAAATTTGTATAGGTATTTACATAAATGATAAGTAATTAAATTATTTATATCTAAAATATCCAGGCTGTATATAAAGCTCACCACTACTTTTTGTTTCAGCCTCCCAAGGGCTGAGACTATAGGCTTGTGTTACATACCTGGGCTGCATTATAAATTCCAGGCCAGTCTTAGAAATATAGTGAGATATCAAAAACAAGAGTTGGGGATATAAGTTGGACTTGATGTCACATCCCTTTGATCCCAGCACTCAGGAGGCAGAGGCAGGCAGATCTCTATGAGTTCAAGGCCAGCCTGGTCTACAGAGCAAATTCTACACAGAGAAACCCTGTCTTGAAAAAAAAAAAAAAAAGGAAGCAGAGTTGTCATATATTTTTTTAAATTATCAGATATCTTTGTTGTTCATTGATTTCATGACTGTAAAGTCATCAACTCCTATTTTCTTTTTTCAAGATGGGGTCTCATATGGACCAGGCTAGACTCAAACTTACTGTGTAGCTGAGGTTGACCTTGAACTCCCAATCTTCTTTTCCTTAGTGTTGGGATTTGGCATATGCCTGGTGTGTCCACTGCTAACAAGAGAGCCCAGGGCTCATGCATGCTAAGCAAGCACTTGGTGCTGCATTCTAAGCCCTTGGCTCCTGATTCTAAATGGCGAGGTGTTTAGTAAATAAAACCAAAACAAAAGCTTTGGAAACTACTGGAATAAAGCTGCCCAGGTTTTACACCTTTGTGTCATGAGAAAGAAGCTTGAAGGACTCTCCCTAAGGCTTTGTTTTAAGGGTCAAGAGACTTACTTTGAAGGATCCTAAATTCTCAGGAGTTCCAAATCCTTCAGGTCATATGTTACTTTCTTTGGTAACCAGTGAACTTAACATTTTCTCAGCGGCTGTGAGTTCTAAGTAAGCAGGGTGCACATTAGAACCACATAGTTGGTGATGTCTGCTAGCATAAGGGGAGCCCAGTCCTGCTTCCCCTGGACAAATGTATCTCCAGTGCTGGCAGCTGGAGGTGTGGCTCTGAGTAAAGTACTTGCCTAGCATTCCCAAGACCCTGGCTTTGATCCCCAGCACTGACCACGCCCCTGACCACGTCCCTGAATACCCTCCCCCAAAATGAGATAGAAGACTGCCCACACACACACATACATGATCTACTCATTGGTTTTATGTATCCTTGGGTTTCAGGTAAGATGTCCTCTCATTTGTTGGAAGGAGTCAAACAATCTCTCCTATTGGCTTCACAGGTTTGTTTCAAGGATAATGCTGTAACATAAGCCTACTTTACTTAAAATCATTGTTCCGGGGCTGGGAGTGTAGGTCTTTTAGGCAGAGTGCCTACTTAGCACACACAAAGCCTGGGTTGGCTCCCCAGCACCAAGCGAACCAGGTGTGATGGTGCACGCCTGTCATCTCAACACTCAGGAAGTGGAAACAGAAGGTGATTCAAGGCAGTCTTCAGCTGTAAACTCAGGTTCAAATAGTAATAAAATCATTGTTTCGTTTTGAATGGTTCTGATCTATTTGCTTTTGGGCCAGCTGGTCCTCTTCCCACGTGCACACACACCCCTGCCTTCTTTTTGAACTTCCAAACTGCACACTCAGCCCCACCTCAGACATGCAGCTCCTCTGTGGTTGCAGGCAGAAGGCTTCGCCAAGGCTGTCAGAGTCACCAGGTCTCCATTCCTGCTTCCTCTGCTTGGTGCTGGGCTTACCACCTCCTGGTGACATTTTCTGTTCAGCCTCCCTGCTGCATATGCACCTTGGGTCCTAGGGAGGCCTGTGTATTTGAGCTAATTCTCTCAGGCTCCCTCTCAAGTAACCTCTAACTATGAAACGCAGGTTTCCAGGCAGTGGTGGTGCACATCTTTAATCCCAGCACGTGGGAGGCAGAGGGAGGCGGATTTCTGAGTTTGAGGCCAGCCTGGTCTACAGATTAAGTTCCAGGATAGCCAGGGCTATACAGAGAAACCCTGTCTTGAAAAACAAAAAAAAACAAAAAAAAAAAACAAAAAAAAAAAAAGGAAGGAAGGAAGAAAGAGAAAGAAACACAGATTTCTGTCTCTCGGAGACCCTGGAGAAGTGGCAGGTAGCACTCTATCTCGACCAGCCCTTGCTCCTGTGTCCTAGAGAAAGGAAAGTTACTGTGAGTGTTGTCTCTAAGTCCCTCTAGCTCACATAAAACCTTTCCCAAGGCTTTCTCAGCCTGATGTCACCTGTCCCTATGACTCAGGGTTGGTGACTTATAAAGAAACAAACGGGGTTATCAGTGTTGCTCAGTTGGTAGAGCACACACCTAGCAAGCAAGAAACCCTGGGTTTGATCCCCAGCACTGAATAAACCATAGCTGTTGGTGCGTTCCAGCACTTGGGAGGCAGAGGTAAGAGGGATGGGAAGTTCAACCTTGGATACAAGTAAGTTTGAAGCCAATGTGAGCTACTCGAGACAAATAAAACCCACAAATATGTGGTATATGCCTGTGATCCCAGCACTTGGAAAGCAAACGCTGGATCAGGAATTCAAGGCCAACCTTGGTTATGTGGCAAGTTCAAGGCCAGCCTTTGCTATGGGACACCTTATTTCAAACAAAACAACAAAACAGAATAAATGAATAGATAGTTCTGGCTGCTGGCCTAAGCCTATACTCCCAGCTATTTGATACTGTACCAAGAAGACCAAAACTTCCTGAGCTACAGAGTGACAGGTCAGGTCCAGCCTGGGCAACTCAATGAGAGTCTGTCTTAAAATTTCAAAGTTTTCTGAAGAGGTAAGACTATTGGTTGTGGCAGAGTGCTTATCTGACATGCACAGGCATGGATGGAAACAACAGATTTAGGGACCCAGTGCAACCTTTTAATTCCAAGCAGTTACTCCTACCAGCATGATCACACACACATTGGACAGGGAGTGCCAGGGTCTGGGTAAAAACAAAACCCAGACCTAGGCAAAATAGATATGTATATATATATATGTATAATTATACACACGTACATATGTGGACAGACAGGACTGGAAGTGCAATTAGGTAGGGCAGGGAGTCAGGGAAGGGAAGCAGCAGAGGGTGCCCCAATAAATTACATTCTGTAGAGAGCACAGTAGGAGATGCATGGCAATGGAGGGACCTGGGAGCCTGGGCTCTCAGAGGTGTCCTAAGCTAGGCCTCTCCATCCCATCTGAGGGAGGCTGAGGCCTGGGCTCAGTGGTCCCAGGACAGGTGCTAGAAGGGTACATCCTATCTGGTTTTGCCTGGAGGCTGGTGGTGGTGAGGCATTGTGTGAACAGCATCTCTGCTCTTAGCCACAGCTTCGAATAAGCCCTGGGTCTTGAGCAAGAGGTTTGAAGCTTAGGGGTTGCAAAGTACAGGACATACAAGCTAGAGGGAGGACGACCTCCCAGCTGGAGGTCCAGGTAGAGCCTGCTTCTGTCAGTTAGAGAAGCATCCGGCTCGAGTGCAGGAAGCTGTCAGGAGTGCAGCTGGCTGGAGCCTTTGGGTGGGCAGGCACAGGGTCCCAGAGCTGCCGCCTCCCCTTGTACAGGACAGCAGACAGACCTCCCCCACGAATCCCCCTTCATTTCTCCTCACTGTCTTCTGGGGACCCTCATGTGGGGTGACAGACAGGGAACGGGTGCAAACATTGACTGTGTGCTGGAGTCCGGGCTGGGTTTGGCTAGGCAGTGAAGCCCAGGGAGAAGGTAAGGCCCCTGGCCCATCGTGGGGAAGGAAGTCCATGCCTTGTGACTCTGGGACTGTGCACTTCTTGGCTCTCTCCCTGAGGAATGGAGCCCAACGCTTCTGTCCAGCCTCCTGCTGCTCCCAGCCAGCAGAGGAAGAGGACGCTGTGGGGTCTCACAGCCCCAGCTTCAGGGCCTCAAAGCAGCAGAAGGAAGGTACTGTCACGGACAGGGCGAGCTGGCAGGGATGTCAGAAGAGGGAAGCTTTCTTCTTGAGTTCGTTCCGCTTCCACAGGGCTAGCTTGCCAAACTCCTCAGGAGACATGGCGAAGACCCTAGAGAAGTCTTCTGCTGACAAATGCCTCTGTGGGGACAAGGGCAACTGAGTGATTAAGGAGGCAGCCTCTACAGCCTCAAAGTCAAAGGCGGCCCCACTGGGTGGCCCGTCCCCCACGCCACATGTCTTTCTTGCATACCTCAAGCCTCATGCGGTCCACACCCGGAGGCAGCTTAGTCCTCCCCTTGTTGGTCACCACCAGCATCTCATAGGGATAGATCTGGAGAGGTAGAGAGCCCTCTTAGGTTCCTAGTCTCCTGTGCTCATAACCCCCTTGACTCCCCGGTCCCCCCTGCAGAGGCCACTGGGATTCATGCCATCTTGCCATTCATCTTCTTCGGCTTCCCTGCTGCCCACCAACCCCCACCCCGTCATCCCCAGGAGCACCCTGAGCGCATTCAGCTTGGTGGGCTTCACCACCCCCCTGAAGCCCACCCCACTGTGGTGGTCAGGTCCCCTGCCCTCACCTTCTGCTCCAGCACACAGGGCAGGGAGTTCCCCCGATCCATCCTCCCCCTCTGGCCCTCTCCGTTCTGGGGAGACCAAAGCCGCAGTGAGCCAGAGTGGGTCAGGGGGACCTTCTCAACCTTACCCTAGGCGTCTTCAGTCTTCACCAAGCAACTTGTCGGCCCGTACCCCCCCCCCACCAGTACCCATGCCTGGCTCTGGTTTCCTGAGGTTCTCCTGCTCCCCTCCAGGGGGCGCTCACCTGCAGGCCTAAGGAGACAAGAGCCAAGGTTTAGAGACAGCTTCAGAAGTTGCACCTTCACCTGATCTTAAACCACGCCCACCTTGGACAGAGGCTGTCTATAAAGTCTGTGGAGGCCCGCGTCCCAGCGACATGTGACCCCACTGCTCACCTGGGCTCCCAGCCTCACTTCCCGATGGGCTGAATTCTGTGGACTGTAGCTAAGAAATGATACAAAGAAATCAGAGGAAGCTGAGGACAACCTTGAACAGACTCCTTTACTCTGAGGGCTTCCCACCACCTAAGGCCTCCAAGTGCTTGGTCACTCAGAAGCAATGGTAGACACACACCTCTCCCATGCAGCCCCTGCTTGGTCCTAAGGCCTTACCCGGCTCAGAGTGGTCCTGCCATAGGAAGGAAGGGAAGAGGATTTAGATGTTCCGGAATGCAAGGCTGAAAGAGAGCAAGAGGGCTCAGGTTTAGTCCCTTGACCTTGACAGTCCTTTCTAAGACAGCTGCCTCAATGGCTTTCCCTGGCCAGAACCCGGCAGGCTTCTGTGGACTTCCATAGTGAGTGCGCTGTGGCCTCTGCTGAGCCTATATCTTCCCTTTTCTCTCTAACTAGAAGTGAGTCAAAAGTCTAGTGTGAGCCCCAGGCAAAGTTAAGGCTCATGTCACTCCAGCCACCATGAAGTAAGTTCGAGATCTACAAATACACAACAACTCTAAGTGAAATCTTGAAGGTATGACAACGGTATAACAGTGGTCAACTTCTGGCCATTTGACAGCACAGTTCTGACATAGTCATCATCTTAGCACAGTGAATGCAGTCAGGATAGTTCCCATTTGAGGCTAAGTAGCTGCCTCAGTAGGTAAGAGGGCTTGCTCTGCAAGTATGAAGACCCCTACCAACAAACAAACAACAACAAAACCAAAGCAAATAAATTCTCAGTCCTACTGGGTCTCTTTGTTGCAGTCTTCTACACTCTTCCAAAGAGTAATGCCCTGGAGACAGTTGCCTGGCACCATAGTCCCTCAGCACTTTCCTTACCAAACGCTAGCAACGGATTGGATCAGCCCATACCTCCTTACGCCCACAGCTGTGGAGTAGCATCTCACAAAGGAAAGACCACGCAATATTCCCACCAAGCAGTCCAGCCTCTGGCTCAGCAGCCCTAGTCCTTCCTTCAGTGGAGGAGGTCTGCCATGGCTGCCTCCCCAGCACAGGGCTCCATGTCCTCCCCATGCTCCTCAGTCTAGATTTTCTTTTTTTTGGGGGGGGGGGGCGGGGGGAGTGGGTTCAAGACAGGGTTTCTCTGTATAGCCCTGGCTATCCTGGAACTCACTTTGTAAACCAGGCTGGCCTCAAACTCAGAAATCTGCCTGCCTCTGCCTCCCAAGTGCTGGGATTAATGGGATTAAAGGCGTGCGCCACCACTGCCCGGCTGATTTTCCTTTTCTTAAAGACAGGGTCTCGCTATGTAGCCCTTGAACATGGTAGTCATTACTTTTTGTTGTTGTTGTTTGTTTTTTGTTTGTTTGTTTGCTTGTTTGTTTGTTTTTTGTTTTTCGAGACAGGGTTTCTCTGTGTAGCTCTAGCTGTCCTGGAACTCATTCAGTAGACCAGGCTGGCCTCAAACTCAGAAATCCGCCTGCCTCAGCCTCCCAAGTGCTGGGATTAAAGGCGTGCACCACCACCACCCGGCTCATGGTGGTCATTACTGAACATGCTAGCTAAGGCCTCATGTTCTGCAGGCCTGGCCACCCAATTTCCCTTTCCTTTCTCCATGAGTAATCTTTCTTTTCCCATCTCCTACACATATTAGCTGCAGACCCTCCAGCTTCTGGCTTGCCAAACTCAGTTCCCAACCATTTGTTCTACATCGATAAAGCCCTGACACCTCTCTCCCTTATCCCCCTTCTGATGGGTCCTAGGATTCACTTCAGTGGATGTGATCTAAGCAATTCTCAGATCTTTCCCCTCTTCTCTGAACCCCAAAGGATGTGTTATTCTTAGGATATGGTTTCAGCATATCGAAAAGCTGCAAAAATTATGAGAAGTTAAGAAGGTAGGAACAGGCCGGGCAGTGGTGGCACACACCTTTAACCCCAGCACTTGGGAGGCAGAGGCAGGCAGATTTCTGAGTTTGAGGCCAGCCTGGTCTACAGAGTGAGTTCCAGGACAGCCAGGGCTATACAGAGAAACCCTGTCTCGAAAAAAAAAAAAAATTAAAAAAAAAAAAAAAAGAAGGTAGGAACAGGGCCACAGAGATGACTCAAAGGGTAAAGGCAAATGCCTTGCAACCCTGACAATGTAAATTTTATCCCTTGAATCCACACAGAAGTAGAAAAAAATACTACTGACTCTACAAAGTTGTTCTCTGATATCTATCCTCAACACACAGACATCATACATATATACACACACAGAGACAGACAGACAGACAGACAGACACACACACACACACATCTTTTAGAAACTTGGAACTAGAAAGATGGCTCAGTGGCTGCTCTTCTGCACCCACACGGCAGCTCACAACCATGCAGTCCTCAGGGACTCCTATACCCTCCTCTGGCCTCTGTGCATGCATCCAGTGCACAGACATACATGCAGACAAAACACCCATACATAAAACAAATAATTTTTTAACAGGGTCCCACTATGCCATTCTAGATGACTTGGAACTCCTTATCTAGATCATGGTGGCTTTGAACTCACTAAGCCTTTGTCTGCTTCTAAGCACCAGGATGAAAGGTGTGCACCACCAAACCAGGCTCTGATAGCTTTTGTTTGTTTGTTTAAATGGTTTGTTTCCTTTTATTTTATGTGCATTAGTGTTCTGCCTGCATGTATGTCTGTGTGGGGGTGTCAGATCTTTTGGAACTGGAGTTGTACGGGAGGAGGAAGAGGAAAAGGAAGAGGAGGAATTGTCTCAGGGCTAAGGGCAAACCCTATGTGAGCTGACATTTGGGTGCTGGGAATTGAACCTGGGTCCTCTGGAAGAGAAGCCAGTGCTCTTAACTGCTGAACCATCTCTCCAGCCCTGCTCTAAAAGGTTTTTATTTTGAAACAGGGTCTACTATGTTGTCTAGGCTAGACTTAGACTCACTCTGAGCCTTAAACTTTTTCCTTTTTTTTCTTTTGTTTCTCTCTCAATCTCTCTCTCAATCTCTCTCTCAATCTCTCTCTCCCTCTCCCTCTCCTTCCTTTCCTTCTTTGTTTTGTTTTTGAGACAGGATCTCTCTATGTAGCCCTGGCTGTCCTAGAGCTCTCTATGTAGGACAGGCTGGTCTTGAACTCACAGAGATCCACCTGCCTCTGCTTACAAAGTACTGGGATTAAAGGCATGCACCACTATGCCCAGATGCCTTAAATGTTGAATTCTCTTGCTTCAGTCTCCTGAGCAGCTCAGATTACAGGCCTGCTCCACAGGTCTGGCCAGGTATTTCCATACAGGGACAGAAGGCGGATTAATCTGTTCATCTGCAAACCAGTTTGGAAGATTGTTTCCAGAGATGACCTGTCACTCTTCCATATACCTTGCTTCCTTTTTGTAATGAAACCTTGTAGTTCCTTGAATCTGGGTCAGAATCTAGTCTACCTTGAGTCTAGTTTCATTTCTACATTTTTGTTATTGTTGTTGTTTTGGAGATAGAGTCTGTGGTAGTTTGAATAAGAATCATCTCCCCATAGGCCCCATATATTTGAATGCTTAGCCACCAGAGAATGGCTCTGTTGAGAAGGATTAGAAGAGGCGCACGCCTTTAATCCCAGCACTTGGGAGGCAGAGGCAGGCGGATCTCTGAGTTTGAGGGCAGCCTGGTCTACAGAGTGAGTTCCAGGACAGCCAGGGCTACACAGAGAAACCCTGTCTTGAAAACAAAAAAACGAACAAAAAACCAAAACAAAAAACAAACAAACAAAAAGCCCATGCCAGGCCTAGGCTTCCTCTGCCTTTGGATCAGGATGTAGCTCTCGGCCGCTGTTCTGGTGTCATGAGGGCCACCATGTTCCCTGCCATGATGACAATGGACTAAGCCTCTGAAACCTTAAGCCAGCTCCAATTAAATGCTTTCTTTTATTGTTGCTTTGTTCATGGTGTCTCCTCACAGCAACAGAACAGTGATTAAGATAGGGTCTTTTTTTTTCGTCACCAGCCCAGGCTAGACCCCTAGTTCTGGGATTAGACTTGTGCCACTGTGCCAGCTTTGACCAATAGAATGCAAAAACAGTGAGCTGTCATGGCTTCCAAGGTCAGATTTTAAGAGTTCTCATGCTTCTCTTTTGGGGTGCTTAGCTCTGTCCCTCCCGTCTCCAGCTACCAGACTCTAGAGAAGTCCAGGCTAGTTGGGGTTGCTCAGAGGCCCAGAACTCAAGGTCCCCTTCACCCATTTCTCTGCCTCACCGCAGGCTATGGTGGCCATGCCCTCTGAGCTACCACACTGGTTCAAGTTCCCGGCCTTTTGCCCCAGGCTATTCTTGACACTCGGAAGGACATTCTGCATCATTTATTTGCCTCTTCTAAGACTTAGGGGAGGCTAGAGAGGTGGCTCTGTTAAAATCACTGGCTGTTATTCCAGAGGACCTGGGTTCGATTCCCAGCATGCACATGGTAGCTCACAATTGTCTGTAGCTCCTGGGGATCTGACATGCTCATACTGATACATGCAGGCAAAACACCAATGCACATAAAATAAGTAAGTAAATCATTAAAAAAAAATACTTAGGGGAGCCTACCAGGCCTCCTCACTGGCCTTTCAAAGTACTCACTGATATTCTGTCTCCTCACCTGCCACACTGCTCCAAAAGCCACATAGATTTAAACATCACTTTCCCCCTGGCCAAAGGAAATGGCTGTATTTTCACTCATAATGTCCCCAGTGCTTAGCATGTCCCTCACTAAGTGTCCATTTAATGAAGTCAGGGCTCTCACACTGCTTGTACTGCCAATCTCTGTTCTGGCTATCGGTTCATATTTTTGCCCTAAAGGAGTACACATGTGGGCCTCACACCCAGACTGAATCTTTTAAGTATAATGGTTCAATAGCCACACACACATCTGCCCACCCCACACCCACCCCTGGCCAGATGATCGTGAGCCCACCCCACAGTACTCACAGGTATGGAAGGGTGTCCGGTCAGGCAGAGAGCGTGTTTTCCTCCGGATGGGCAATGACTTTTCCATCTCTTCTTTCAAGATCATCTTTCCCAAGTTGGAAGTAACCTGTTTGGGGGTGGAGGAGAATGGGGCCCAGCCTCAGACACCAACTTCCTGTCTCTGAAAAGTGCAAACTTGGGGTTCGACCCAGGAGGATTAGCAATGGCTTTTCCAGGTGGCTAGTCCATATCTGGAGCCTCTTGATCTTACTGGACATTCAAACACATAAGGTTTGCTGACGACGTTCAGTGGTACCCTTCCACGGTGGCTTCTCTGTTCTAGGTCACCATGTCAAGAGCACAACCAATGGCCTTCCCATGACTCCTCATTCTCTCTCCTCCCCTAGATCAGTCTGCTGAAACCTGGGGCTGGTACACCTTCCTTTTCCTGTGCTTTGGATCTGAATGTCCAGGAGCACTGTTCCAAAAGGATCCTAAAGCCCAGGAATCCTGGTAAAGGAGAGGCACCTCCCACCGGTTCAAATGCAGATATTTCTATGGCACTATCCTTTGACACTGGCTATGGGGCCAGAATATTTGTCACCTAGATGGTATGAAGTGGTGGTGGTGCTGGGGAAGATGCTACCTTACTGAGTTCCTCTTTCTGCCGCTCCCTGATGGCCTTAATCTCCTCTTCAGAGTCATCATCTTCTTCCTCCTCCTCTTCCTCTGCCCCCTTTCGAGATGCCTTCCGTTTCCTCCATTCTGTCTCTAGGAGATAAAGGCCCCAGAATCAATGTGACCACTCAGCCACTGGCTTCTCCAGCTTGTGGAACAGGGCTTGACCTTGAAGAGAACACTACAAAGTCTTCCTTCCTTTCTTCCTTCCTTTCTTCCTTCCTTTCTTCCTTCCTTCCTTCCTTCCTTCCTTCCTTCCATTCTTCCGTCTTTCCTTTCTTTGTTTTTAGAGACAGGGTTTCTCTGTGTAGCCCTGGCTGTCCTGGAACTTACTCTGTAGACTAGGCTGGCCTCAAACTCAGAGATCTGTCTGCCTCTGCCTCCCAAGTACACTACACCTGGTTAAACCCTTTTTAATTTTTTACTTAATCAAAGAAGAGCAGTGCACGACCTTAACCACTGAGCTATCTCTCCCGCTCCCATTCATGATTCAGTCACGTAACAGACATCTCTGAAGCATCTCTGACAGACCCTGATAGGAGATTTGGAAAAGAGAGAAATAAATGAGAGGCCTTGGTCTCCAGAGCCTGGGCTACACAAGAAACCTGTTTTGAAAAAAACAAAACAAAACAACAACAACAACAAAACAAATAAACCCACAAAAACTGAGACAGGGTCTTGGCAGTGCTGCCCGTGCTAGCCTTCAACTCCTGAGCTCAAGTAATCCTTCTGCCTCAGGCTTCCACTTAGCTGGGGTACTGTCATATGCCGCCATGCTTAGAAGTACAAATTCTGCCAGGCAGTGGTGGCGCACGCCTTTAATCCCAGCACTTGGGAGGCAGAGGCAGGCGGATTTCTGAGTTCGAGGCCAGCCTGGTCTACAGAGTGAGTTTCAGGACAGCCAGGGCTACACAGAGAAACCCTGTCTCAAAACAAAACAAAACAAAACAAAAAACAAAAAAAGTGAGTAAAAATCAAACAATCAAACAAACAGAGAGACAAAAAAAAGTACCAGGCTAGAGAGATGGCTCATCACTTAATAGCACTGGCTTCTGCTGCAGAGGACCTGAGTTCAGTTCCTAGCACCCAGACAGCAGCTCATGGCTGTCTCTAACTCCAGTTCCAGGGGAGTTGACAACCTTTTTCACCCTCCCTGAGCACTAGATACACACACACACACACACACACACACACAGAGGAAAACATACACATAAATTAGAAATAAGCCTTTTTTAAAAAAAAGATTACAAAAAACAAACAAACAAACAAACAAACAAACAAACAAAAAACAAAAGAGATGGCTCAGCAGTTAAGAACATTGGCTTTTCTTCCAGAGGACCTGGGTTCAATTCCCAGCCCCCACATGACAGCTCACAACGAAGTTCAATTCCAGAGGATCTGGCATCATATATAGATCATATAGAAACATATAGGCAGAAAACCATGCACATAAAAATAAACAAATCTTAAAACAAACAAACAGGACGAGTACAGAGCTGAGAGTGCACGTAACTCAGTGGTAGGTATGTGCTTAACGTGTACAAGTCCCGGGACAGTCCTAGTTATAACAATTGTAACAATGCGAGTAACATTAATAACAAGACAATAATAAATAGTAAACTGGATAAGAAACATATATTTAAATTCCCTGGGGGCCAAGACTTCTCACTTATTTCTCTCTTTTCCAAATCTCCTATCAGGGTCTGGCTATAGCAGACGCTTAAGAGAGTAATGAACAGAAGCTGGAGAGATGGCTCAGTGGTTAAGGCCATGCACTGCTCTTCCAGTGGCCCTGAGTTCCATTTGCAACCTGCATGGGGTGCTTCACAACCCGCTATAACTTCAGCTCCAGAGTGACCCTTTACCTCGGGCCTCCTAGGCACTGCCTTTTCATGAACATACCCTCCCACACACATGCACATGTGTACATATAGTTCAAATAAAATAAAACCCTAAAAAATAATAGTGAGGGGTTGGAGAGATGGCTCAGCGGTTAAGAGCACTGACTGTTCCTACAGAGGTCCTGAGTTCAGTTCCCAGCAACGACATGGTGGCTCACAACCATCTGTAATGGGATCTGGTGCCCTTTTCTGGTGTGTCTGAAGACAGCTACAGCGTACTTGCATAAATAAAATATATAAATAAATCTTTAAAAAATAATCATAATGAGCGCTGGGCATAGTGGAGCACACCTTTAACCCCAGCACTCCAGAGGAAGAGGCAGAGGCAGGTGGACCTCTGAGTTTGAGGCTAGCCTGGTGTACAAAGCGAGTTCTAGGATAGCCAGGCTGTTACACAGGGAAACCCTGACTCAAAAAAAATCAAATGATGATGATGATGATGATGATGATGATGATGATGATGAGCAAGAGGGGGAGAAATGATGAGCAGGACCTGCACAGCAACACAAAGAGGTACGGGGGGAGGTAAGAAATGAACTAGCAACTGAGTGAAGTACAAAAGACAGAGAAGTAACAGGCTTGAAGTGGGTGGGAACTGGGATCATGGGACCAAGAAAGAGTAGTGAACGGGGATCCTTAGCCTCTTCTCCTTTTCCCGGTTTTTCCTACCCACAACGGCCAGCGACGGGGGACACGGCCAGTAGTCAGTCTCTATCTTGGCTGGCTGGTTGGGGTCGGGGGGCTGTGCTGCTGGGAACTTGGATGATTCAATGATGAGGTCCTCGATGAGGTGCTTGCTCTGAGGGCTGCCTCCCACCGACTCTGTAGGTAGATCCAGGGTCAGTCCGCACACCACCCCTGCTAACCACACAGCCAGCCAGCCTGGCCCCACCCTCACCTCCTGCTCCCGCACCCAGGGGAATTCAGCTCTAATGGTGATACACACGATACAAGCCTGGAGAAGCTACTCTCCCATCCCTCCCCAGGTCTCAGCACATGGCCCAGCACCACCCCACCAGTGTGTGCCAGGAGAAGCACCCAGGAAGTCAGGGGAACCCTCACCTCTCTGCCTGTAGATGGGTGGCTTCTTGTAGATGTTGGAATCCGGGCGGGTAGTCTCTGGGAGACGGAACAAGAGCGGATGAGAAAGGGGACATGATAGCAGGGGGTGGTGGCTCTGGGCACAAAGTGGAGGTAAAGAGAACGGGGCCATGAGCAAGACAGCTCAGACCGTGCCTCATGAAGGCGGGGACTTCCTGCACTTTTCTGGGTAGGTGAGAAGGAAGAGACAGCAAGACCCCTACCATAGGGGCCAGCTAGATCTAAACCTAATGACCGAGAGTAAGGGGTATGGGGGTCCTGAAGGAAAATTGAAGTCCCAAGGAAAGAATGTAGCTAGGCTGACAATAAAACCTACCAGGGTGGTGGAAATGGGGCAGGCTCGTCCTGGGGGTTCCCGTGGTCCTTGGTGTTGAAGCCTGAGAGATGAGTCCAAGTGTCCGGCTCTCCGCCCACACCTATGCAAAAGTATACAGCTTGTAGCCACCACCCCATACCCCTTCCCACTCCCATGTGCATGGCTTTGCCTCAGGCCACCTTTCCCACCCTCCTACACCAGTGTCCCTACACTCCAGCCCCAGGGCAATGTCATGGCAAAGGAAGCACATTCAAGGACTCCATCTGCCAGCTCAGGATACCTACCCAGAGAGAAAGGGTTAAAAGAGGCCCTTGGTCTGGCAGACAGATGAGTTGGCCAAGGACCAGCCAGCCAGGATTTGCTGACTCTATCATCCCCTGGACTTTGCTGGGCTGGGGCATGTTGGGGGAGGGGAGCTGAGGGCCCAAACAAAGCAGGACTAAAGCCAACTGACCTCTGGAGACGGTGGGGGGGATGTGGATTTGGGTGACAGTGAGCACTGTGAACAGAGAGAACATCAGAGTCACAGGTAGGATTAAGCCCTTGTCCTACCATCTCACCCCCATCTACCCAGCTTCCCCTACTTTCTGAGCCAACCCTCTTCCCTCTGGAGTCCCTGCCAATCTCTGGCCTGGCCTTCATCCTTCCTCTGCCCAGTGTTCTCAGTCTTTTCATGTGAAGCTCAGATCTGGGAGCAGTGTACCTCATGCCCTGAACTAAGTATGACCATGACTGCAGAGCCTGGTAAGGAATGGAGGGGCCATAGCCGCAAAGCAGCTCTGGTGGAATCAGTTCTCCTGGGCTACTTGGTACTCAAAGTTTTCCAGCTGTTCACTCCAATATGACCTCTTTTCTTTTCCTAAAATTCAAATTGTATTGTTTTAATGTTTACTTTGTGTGTGGGCACGCACATGCCACGGCACCTGTGCGGAGGTCAGGGGACAGCTCTCAGGGATCAGCTCTTTCCTTCTACCATTGGTTCTGGGGATAACTTAAGTTATCCGGCTTACATGCATCCAAGCGCTTGCCTGCCTTTGCCTCTGCATACTGGGATTAAAGGTGAGTGTTACCATGACCATGACCCCTTTTTTGAAGACAGGTGACAAAGCACCCAACCAAGTATTGCCCTATATACTGCCTTCTGTGGTGCGTAAGAACCACCACTTCTATGTGACAGAGGGCAAATCGTGGCTACAATGTTTCACCACTCCTTCACCTAGAATTTCTGGAGCTCCTTCCGTATTTTGTTCTTCCGGCCTTTCCCTACAAGACCTCTTTCCACAGTCGCCACTGTTCAGCTATGGCTGCCCCTACTGTTTCTCAGTCACACCTCAGTCCTGAGCCTGCTGCTCACTTTGCCCAAACAAGTGCTCACTCCTGTGCATAGTCTGTGTCTGCCTCCAAGATGGACTGCGGCTCAGGCCTGCACAAATGATCCCCTCTTACCTCCCGGCTTCTAGGCAGCTCTACATGTTCCAGGAGGGAATAGGTAAAATGGGGCTCGTAGATCATGAGGTCAGGTCGTTCAATGTCCAGGATGGCCTTGTCCTTGGGGATGGCAGCCAGGTCTTTATAGCCCAGCACCTGGTTGTCCATCTTGGCCTGAAGGGAAATGGTCCAAATGGAAGAGTTCTCCATAGCATCACTAGGACACTGGACTCACTGGCTGGACTTGGTTATCAGGAAAACATGTTAGACGTCGATTCTCATGTTAACAACTCTATTCTGTTCCTTCTAAGGACCTAGAATGAACCCTTATTTTAATTTTTCAGGCAGCGTTTCATCTAATCAAGATTTGCTGCATCTGGCCTTGAACTTCCTTATCGTTCTATTTCCAGTTCCCAGATGCTGGGACTATAGGCTTGCCTCATGCTCTCTCTTAAAAAAGAAAATGCTCTTTGCCTCTGAGGCTCTTTGCAACTAGACCAGCCCTTTCCAAGGCAGTAGGAAGCCTCCGCTGGGATCTCTGGGTCTTTCCACCTGCAAGAGTTCACAGGACCTCCCTCCATGAGGGAGTAGGGGTGAGGGTGAAGGGGATCCGCCCCTCCCTCCTCCCAGCTGAGGTGCAGGTGGCCAACATAAGTACTCACCACGATGCTGGAGGGAGAGCCGGGCACACTGGAGTCTCTGGAGGAGCTGACGCTCCCCGGGGAGGTAAGAGGTTGCTGGAGAGAGCGAGAAGGTGGCGGAGTGGGCATGCGCGTGGGTGCGAGGGTGTGGGAGTGGGTCTTGCCCTAGGCCTCAGGATGGGGTGGGGCGGGGAAACCCGGCGTGCTGAGCGGAGGTAGCCACCAGGTGGCGCCGGCGACTCCCGAGCGGACCTGGGAGAGCAGCGGTCCCCACCCTGGCCCGGGGTGCAACCCGCTCACCTTCTGCAGGCGTTCCATGCGGCAGCCACTGGCCGGCCGCTCCCTCGGAGGCCGGTGCGCACGTGGAGAGGACAGACGTCAGGCTCGGCCCGGCTCCTGCAGCGAGGGCGTCACAGCGTCTTGTGGTGTCCTCATCCCTTGGGCCTCTCTGGGCTGCTGACCGCGGGTGGCTGGAAGGACAGTGAGCCCCAGTAAGGGCGTTTGGCTGCCAGGTTCCGCGGCGCTGGGTTCCGCACCAGGGAGTTGTGCGTGCATGTGGCCAGGCGGCGGCTCTGTGAATCGGCTGCACTTGTTTTTTAAGCCATTGTTCTCTGGCTTCAGAGGAAATGACGGCGGGGTCAGCTGGCATCTCAGGGTGGACAGGCTTCTATATCCTCAAGCTAGTCACCCCTGCTCTGGCCCTGCTCTGGCCTGGGCCCTCTCCCAACCAGTGCTGGCCCCTCCCACTCCAGCCACTGGTTTTACTCCCCAGAGTTTGCTCAGCCAAATCTTTATTTTCCCCAGAAAGTTAACAAGGGGACACTAAGTCATTAGTTAAGACTTGAAGCATAGGGAGCCAGAGGCCGGAGGAAGAAAACCCACGGGGATCGGGTGGGACGGTGAAGCCGTGGCCATGACCTAGAGCTGCTGCTGGTCCTCTGAAGCTAGCTCACTTGCCTTTTCTCTGTTCCCTACAAGCAGGCAATATGCTGTGTAGACAACGTAAAATACCTCTGGGGCCCGGGCTACATCTCTGCCACCACAAAGTGCCCAGAGCATTCTCAGGGGCTGTCACACTGCTCTATGAGTGCCTGGTGGCCCCCTTTCACACGTCTGTCCCTAGAAACTTAGGCCAGTCTATGTACTAGGTGACGGCCACAGCCCATGTCCTCTGCTTCTTGGTCATTCTCTCAACTCTCTTTCCCTCCTCCCAATACTGGTCCTCCCAATACTCAGCCACAGACTGAGGAGCACTGTGTACCGAAGGGAAAGGAGGGTCATGTGGTGGCTTCAAACAGGACCTCTCAAGCCAGGATGCCCAGTGACTACTACTCGGATGCTCTGTGGGCTTGGGTAAGTCATTTATACTCTGCACATGCTAACATCCTAGCACTTGGGTGGCTGAGGCAGGAGGATTGAATTCCAGGCTAGCATGGGTTTCGTAGAGAATTCCAGTCAGTTTGAATTATAGTGTGAATCCTTGTCTAAAGCAACAAAGTGAGGGGTGGTAACAGTTTCTTGTCATAGACTGCTCTGACAAGTCAATAGTATTTATGTATTTACTTATCTTTACGTGTATGGGTGTGCTGCCAGCCTGTATGTCTGTGTACACATGCATGCCTGCTGTTCATGGAGGCCAGAAGAGGGCATCAGATCCCCTGGAACAGGAGTTACACATGAGAGGCCATGTGACTGTTAGGAACCAAGCTTGGGTCCTCAGAAAGAGCAGGCAATGCTTTTAACTATTGAGCTGTCTATCCAGCCCCAAAGAAGTAGCTAAGTTAGTGTATACACAGTGAATAAAACATGTTCTATTCCATGTAGAGGGTAAGCTATTAATAGTATTTCTATCTCCACAGGGATTAGTGAATTGAGGGGGCTTTTCTGTAGTCAGTTATGAGAGAATGAAGTCCCTGCTTTGTTTCTCTCTTTCTGGGAGCAAAGCCACGTCCTCTTAAGTCTTCCCATCTTTCCTCACAGGGTTGCACTGTACATCCCTGGCCAACCTCAAATCTCAATCCTTCTACCTCAGGCTCAGTCTCCCATATGCCTTCATCATATAAGATAGGAGGCCTTCATCACCATGCCTGGATCGCTCCATCTTCTTCACCTGTACTTTACCTCGACCATTCTGCTACCCATATGTCACCAAAACAGTCAGCAGTCCTTATTCCAACTCCAAACCTCGGCCAACATCTTACCTCTGCCCACCCCCTCTGCCTCCCTCAGGCCACCCCATCCTCCTAGATCCACGTGAAGGCCGGTGCCATCCTGTTCTAGTGCCTCCTGCTAGTGCCTAACCCTTTGCGGAACAGCGACTTTGTAGAGAAGGTGATGTTTAATGCTGGATGCTGTTCTCCGGGCGTGGGGTGCCTTTCTTCCTGAAATGAACTGGCTGCCGACCCCAGGGGGCAACTGCAATCCCCCAGCTGTCACTGATGAGCACATTCGTGTTCTGTACTAGGTGTTCTGTGTGTGCACTCGTGAAATGCTGGAGTTTGGATTGAGTGCGGTCTTCTCCTGAGCCACAGACTCTGTCTTCTTTTATTTTGATTTTTGAGACAGGGTCTCAGTTAGTTTTTCAGGCTGGCTTTGAACCACTCTATAATGCAGGCAGGCCTTTTAGCTTGTGGCCTTTTCCTGCTTCAGCTCTCAAGTAGCTGCGCTGGGTACCATACGCTAGATACAGGTAAACACTACTCAAAGATTGTTCTAATTCGATCTTACAACAGTCCTGCAGGGTAGACCAATTTCACAGCTGAGGAAGCCAAGGCTTGGGGAGATAAGGACCAGTCCAAGGTCAACTGTCTCAAATTAAATACCTTTGGCATGGCATGGTGCAGAGTGTCTGCCCAGTAATGTGCCATGCAAGTCTTATTAGAGTTCTAGAACCAGAGGCCGGGTGTGGTGGTGTATATCTTTAATCCCAGCACTCAGGACACAGAGACAGGCAGATTTCTGAGTATGAGGCCAGCCTGCTCTACAAAATGAGTTCCAGGACAGCCAGGGCTACAGAGAGAAACCTTGTCTTGGAAAACAAAACAAAACAAACAATCAATCAAAGAATTCTAGAAGGAAGGCATCTTCATCAGACAGCAGAAGGAATGTGGGGTTTGTGTAACAGGATTTCTTGTTCTAGAGCATCACACTTCTCCAGTCTTCTTACTGCTGATTTGAAAAGCTTTAACTAGGTGTCTGATGAGCAAAATGCGCTGTGGTACACACTGAAGAGCTGTCAGTGTTCTCTCTCTAGGCTCTGAATTTTATTTTGCTAATAGCCATTGTCACAAGATCTATACCTATGGCTTAGCCCTAGAGGTGAACGCTTGTCCCTCCACCCACCCATGTACCACCTAGTAGTAGATATGCTACTGATGTATCCACCCACCCACGTTGGAGCATCTCTTCCCCACTGAACTCAGTACCAAGCTTTGTGCTGAGCCTCATAGAGAACAGGATGGACTCAGGCCCTTCCAGGAGAAGAACTTGCTCATAGATAAGTTCTATGAAAAGTGGAGAGGCACACACCCCAGATAAGGCAATGGGCTGCAGAAAGTCAAGAGAGGGTGTCTCTGGAGAAGCGGAGAAGTTTTCTGTTGGAAGCCTTAAAGCAGTGGTTCTCAACCTCCCCAGTGCTTCCTAAATAGACCCTTTAGTACAGTTCCTCAAGTTGTTGTGACCCCGAACCATAAAAAGTATTTTTGTTGCTACTTCATAACTGTAATTTTGCTACTGTTATGAACTGTAATGTAAATCTCTGACCTGCAGATAGTCTTAGGTGACCCCTGAGAAAGGGTCGTCGTTCGACCCCCAAAAGTAGGTCATGATGACTCACAGACTTAAAGGTAGGAGTCTAAATGTGAGATTGCTAGTAGGGAAAAGAAAGTCAGTTCCAGGACTCACTTTGGGAGGTGAAAGATGAGGGTTGAATACATCACACGAAGTATGGGATAAACGCTGAAGGGAAGAGAAAGAAGGGCAGAGGGATGAGAAGACCAGCAAAGCCAGAGGCCAGAGCTGGGGAGGAAGTGAGGAGGCTCCTGGAGCTCCTGCAAGGAAGGTCCTGGGCTTGAGGCTGAAGCAGGGAGCCTGGCAGGGAAAAAGGGATTGCAGCACCCGGGCTGGTGGAGGACAGGCTCTGGAGAAATCACTTGCTTCTCAATGAGAAGGGGAAGGGCAGAAGTTGGGTAGTAAGGGAACAGGGCATGGGAAGGCAGCCAGCCAGAGGACCTCTCTATTTTACCAGGAAGGTGGCCTAGAGTGCAGGGGAGCTGTACCGGGCACTCTGGAGAGCACAGACAGGGAAGCAAAGACTGAAGGGAGGAATAATGTTCTAGCGCCTCACCTGGAACACCAGGTGTGGGGTTCATCACGGCGCAGTGGCTGCCCATCAGAGCAAAGGGTTCCAGAGGATGTGGCCAGATAAGAAACCCACAGTTACGTGTGAACAAGCACCAGCGTCCTTACACACAGCCACTCAGGAACGTGATTCCCAGCACCAATGGGCAGCGTTACATAACAGTTGGTGTTTACAGACTATCATGCTTGACTGTAGGCTCCACATTTCACAGTCTTGCCTTTTCCCTCACCCTGACGGCTCAGTACTGTGAACTGTTGCCTCAGGGTTGTAGAGTGGGAAACTGAGACTTCAGGAAGTACTGGGTCAAGGATCCACTTAAGCTCACTGACCACAGTACCATTTCAGGTTGAATTACTGTACTCCTCTGTCCCTTCCCCTTCCCAGGCCATCCACAGCTGGTCCCTGCCTGAAGTGCCCCACAGCACTAGAGTGTCTCCCTTGTCTCCATCCAGGTCCTGCATCCCTGTGTGGTTCCAGGGCACACAAATCAGCACCTTTTGGGGAAGCGCTAAAGGCAGAGCCTTTCAGCTGTGGGGACATTTGCATTTGAATGAAAGGTTTTGGCAGTGAGTGCTTTGTTGGTTTGTTTTAGGTAAGAGTTCTCTCTGTAGCCCAGGCTGGCCTCCAACCACATAATCCTAACCTAGGATGACCTTGAACGTCACCTCTGGAATGCTGGGACCTTTGGTACTACATAGCCTGGCTACTTGTGGTGGTGGGGATCAGCCCAGGGGCTTCATACACGCTAGGCACTAGGTAACTAAGCTACAACCCCAGGCTATGAATAAGGTTCTTGCTGGGGACATTTGAGCCTGTCAGAAGGCCAGCAGGGGAAAGCGTTTTTTGGAGTGGAAGACGAGAAAGGAAAGATGGGAGTGGGCGGGAAGGAGGTGTGTGGGGAGGGAGGGTGAGTTTTCAGTTTCCGTTAAGTCACACTGCACAGGCATCTGCCTACTGCAGCCACGTGGAGTCCCCTCACCCAAGCCCATTTCTCACTCTCCTCCTCCAGGCCTGGTCCCTCTCCCATCCTCCGCAAGG